TGTGTGTGTGTGTGTGTGGCCAGCTCAGCCCACCAGGGGGCGGGGCTGGCTGGCATGTGGTGCTGGGGGATTGAACCATGGTCCCTGTGCTTTGCCAAGCTTGTTTCAAGTAGGTGCTTTAGAACACTGAGCCATCTCTCCAGCCCTATTTTAAATTTTAAATATTTCAATCTATTTATATTGTTCTATCTTTTACCACCTTTGACTCTAGAATATTAAAATTCAGTAATCTGGGGCTGGGGAGATGGCTCAGTGGAATAAGCACTTCCCTGGCAAGCACAAGGGCTTGAGTTCAATTGCTGGTTCTGCAAAAAAACCCCAACAACAACAAAAAATAAAAATAAAAAAATAAATAATTCAGTAATCAACCTGTGATTTGTTTTGGTACATACTTAACTTAGCTATTTCTCCAAATAATTACTTGCCTTACCATCTTTCTCTTTTGATTTGAGATGCTATCTTTCTTGTGTCATTGATGCCCACTGAATCTAATTTTTGCTTTTATTTTCTTGTAGCTGACCCTGATTCCTACAAGTTCATAAGGAGATGGTAAGACTGTGACTATGGTACTGTTCTTACACCCTAAGCTGGTGGGCCAGCCCAACTAGACTCCAGGGATTTCTGGCGGGGGGGAGCATATCTTGGGGGTCTTGAGAAGGAGATGCTTCTTTGTCATGGGCCCTTTTCTAGTTACAGTTCCTATGAGAAAAGAAAGCAGATTAAAGAGAAATGGGAATAAGATTGAGATTTAGGAGAACTCGTGAGTTTTTCAGTTGCTGGATACCATTGTAGAGTTGCTTCATATTGCATCTGAGCCTTTCAGATTTTATGAAGCTCCAGATTAATGAACTCAATCCTCTTTGCCACTAATTCAAGTAAAGTAGTCAATGACCAAGAAAGTGCTGGAAAGAGAAGGACAAAGTGTGCACTGGGAACATAGAGAGTGTGAGAAGAAAGGCCTCCTGTAAATACACCTTGGCTCTGGGTGTGCCAAGATTTATTAGAAGAGAAAACAGACAGATTTTACTCTTAACTACTTTTTATTTTTTCCATAATTTTATTGAGAGATAAATAGCAATGAGACAGTTTGAAATCAAGTTGGTAGGACAGTTTCAATAATTAACACATTGCATACTCTCTTCCTAGTGGTTATTTGCTGTACAAGATGCAGACATGATATTCTATTTACAAACACTATTAGAACAAATCCCTCTATTCATTAAGAGTATGTAACTATATATCTATCCTAATCATTTTG